GGTATTATGAAGCAGCATAATAAACGAGCCGCAATTTTTAATCATCTGCGGTAACAACTCAACAATCTGGAACCACATTTTTGCAGCCAGGCATCCGGGAGGGGGGGGGGGACGGGCTCAGGTTACATAGAAAACTCACCCCCGTTCAGACTTGACTTGCAGAGCTACTCAAGTCGACCCATATATACATTTTGGTTAAATTTTAATTGATCTTAAAGCAAGGAGCTATAATATGGTTAATGTTTTATACCCGAACGATTACGGCATTTCTCCTTAAGTTCAAACGTCAACGTTTTTACGCACAGTTATAAAGTCAAGTTCCTTAACGTGGCGTACTTCGACATTCCCCCAACTTTCCTCATGTAGGCCCTAGTGTTGCCTAACTTCTTGGTTTACAAACTTCACATTCATTCAGTGAAGGACTGGAACTTTTATCTTATAAATGATTGCTCTTTAACTTCGGTCAACAAATTTAATCCGAAATTCAAAAACGGTGGCGTCTGGAAACTGGGCACAATTCGGCTGAGTGTTCCCGAATGTGGTGCTCCTGAATAAATTTCAGAAAATTCGACATTTACATTTAAGAAATTCTGTAAAGTTGATATTTTCTGATAAACAATTACATGTATCGCCTCTACATGTACTTACACACCCAACAAGAAGTTCGTCAGAATTTTTTTTCTTAGTTTCGGGGGACATTTTCAAAGGGTTCCTTGTGCACTTCGAAATAAAATCGGAAAATCACGCCGAAATAACCTTTTCTTTTAACTCTGTAACGCGTGAGACCTGTAAATTATGAACAGGAGTATTTAGAACTCGGTGAAATAGTTAAAACCTTTGCCCTGGCTAGGCGCTACAGGCGAAAAATGAAAGTGCGCCACGTTAGGGGCCGCGCCACGTTAGGGTACATCAACAATTGTGACTCAGTCGACCCATATATAAACTTTGGTAAATCGTAAATGATGTAAATCAAGGAGATATTTGTTTTATACCCGAACGATTACAGCAGTCACTTCAAAAGTTCAAACGTCTATCTTTTAACGCAGTTCATAAGAATAGATTTTATAAATAAAAAATAATTGAAAAAGGAATTGGATCGTGGAAAACGTCAACAGACCATGGTCACGGTATTTCGTTCACGAAAAAAAAAGGAATGAATCATTTTGCAGGACAGGATTTCTTTTGGAGGTGCACAGCTCTGCTCACTTCGTTCATCTTTAAAAAAAACAAACCAACACAAAAAACAGGAACAATAATATAAACAGTTACAAAACTATATTATTATTCTTGTCTTATATAGAAATAAACTCATTGTTTCGTCAATGCGGATGAAAAAACTTGGATGAAATAACTCGAAATTTCCTTCCCTGAAAATTCAACTCATCACGAATAAACAAAGGGTACTTCTTTTATTTACATCATCGTGAATTCATTTGTAACCCATACCTTATTGTTGATCACCTGTTTGCGTGAATTCACATTTCCTGCCTGAAATGAATAACAAAGCTTTTTTTAATATTCGGGAGTCAGTTTATACAATTCCCAACTTGTCAACCTGTTGAATGTCACGTCCAGGTGATAATATTTATTGTTTTTCGTGGTGTTACTCCTAACGTCATCAAAATGATTCAACGCACGTACCTCTCCACCGCAAACTAACAAGGAAATTAAGCGACGACAGAGTAAACTAGCTGTTTTGTAAATAATCTATATTTTGCATATTTTCATCGGGCTCAGTTAATTTTTTTTAAAGCCACTTTTTATTATTGTTTTTCTCCAAAACGATACAATTTCAGACCTAATACCTTCACATGGTATTTGGTACTACATGGTGAGTCAGAATGACGCGAGTTCACCATTTTTTGGGGTGGCAAATAAAGTATATTGAGAGAAATAAAGTGAGTGTTTCGTATGAATGGGCATTACCTTATTTTCCACAGGAATTTTGAATTTTTCAATTAAGTGGCTGTGGTGAGGAGTTATGCCATTTTCATTCAATTGGCTTATTTTCCAGTCTGCACACGGAATTGGTTCTGTCTTTTCTAAATGTGTCAATAACTTCGAGTGAGTCAATCATCATGACTAGGTTTTTATTTGTTATCATGCTCACATCAGTACGCGATTTCAATAAATTTGTTGAACCACGGAAACGTGGTCAGTCAGAGTGGTTTTTTTAGCGCGTGTTCTTTCTTTGCTAGCGCTTTTCTTCAAAATGGTACAATGGATATACATGAAACGTTCACCAAACTTTCTCATTTGCGCTTGTTTTGATAACTATTGTTACACGTTTTTAATATTTTCTTAAATTTGGGTGCAGATCATTCTGACTCACCCTGTAGTCCTTGTTTTATTTTGAGCAAGTTAAAAGATAAAGGTAAAGGGGGACGAACCTGTGTTCACAAGAACAGAGTGCCCATTCGAAGAGATAGGGCCAGACTCGAGTCCATGAAATACTGCTGGGGGGGGGGGGTTCGCCACACCTTCTCTACGTACAGGGAGTCGGTTACCTTCCCAGCATTGAATAATACCGGTACCCATTTAACACCTGATGATGGGTTGAGAGGAGTAATTGAGGTAAAGCGCTATCCCCTTTTAGTTTAGACATTAAACAAACCCTGATAACCCAACGCATGGGCCCAAACAATAATGAATAGGGAAAAACCGAAAGGACTATTTGTCAAAAGTTTAAATGCCTGAGCGATTTTTCTACGTATAGCGCATTGAAGCGAAGTTCCACCAGAATGGCGTGCTTGGCTGTGCCAGGTATACAACTGATTTCCTGAGCCTGACTGAACATCTAAGATATATATATCTAAGTTCAACATGTCTATATTATAGAATACCCCAAAACGCACGACCTTCTCAAAATAAGCTAAAGATACATATACAAAGCAATGACGTCATCATAAATGCAAATTTATATCTATGTACAATGAATTCACAGTTTCAATTGTTTTTGAAAATTTGGTAATAGCAGTGCAGCAAAATCGTTTTTTTTTTATTTTTTTTAGACCCCGTCAGAAAAAAATGCTGACCCAACAGAAAATTTGGAATAAAAGGAATAATTTAAAAACTACGGTAAACCGAATTTCAAAATTCCCCGTCCTTACTCAAGGGCACAGCACTTACTCAATGGCCACGGCGGGACTCGAACCCACAATCTAAAATCATGAATCCTGTGCCCTACCGCTAGACCACACGTGCCACCTGAACAAGATTTTTTTTTCTCATTCAATGAAAAATCATGAAATATTACTTTAGTACACTAAACTTCCACGGAATTCCTCTCCCCTCACGTGTTAAATAGTTTCCAGGTGGAAGAACTTCAAGTTCACTTTTTGAATACGATTTTGCCGCCCTTCCGCAGAAACCAACATTCCAAGCTGTTGTTCAAACATCTTTTGTGTCCTCTTGCCCCTTTAGATACTTCCGCATTTTTGTTTGTTTACCGATTGGAACACATTCATTTCTATTGTACCTTCAGACCATTGATAGATTCGAATTCTACGAAGCGCACCGAACACCACAAAAAGTATACCAGGCACAGCCAAGCACGCCATTCTGTGTGGAATTTCGCTTCAATGCGCTACGTAGAAAAATCGCTCAGGCATTTAAACTTTTGACAATTATTCCTTTCGGTTTTTCCCTATTCATTATTACTTGGGCCTATGCGTTGGTTTATCAGGGTTTTTTGAATGTCTAATCTAAAAAGGGATACGAGGAATCTTGAAACTCAGTATACCGTAGTTTTTAAATTATTCCTTTTATTCCAAATTTTCTGTTGGGTCAGCATTTTTTTCTGAGGGGTCTAAAAAAATCGATTATGCTGCACTGCTAACCAAACTTTCAAAAACAATTGAAACTGTAAATTCATTGTGCATAGCTATACATTTGCATTTATGATGACGTCATTGCTTTGTATATGTATCTATAGCTTATTTTGAGAAGGTCGTGCGTTATTCTATAATATTGACATGTTGAATTTAGATATATATCTTAGATGTTTAGTTATACCTCAGGAAATAAGTTGTATACTTTTTAATTCCATATGGGCAGAGGTCGATCTTTACATCCCCAAAACAAAATGAAGGCCTGCATTGTAGGCAGCAACTGCTTGCCTCGCGTGATCGAAAGTGTCAGGATTTGCGTTTTTTTCCCCAAAATTTTACTTGAACGATTGATGTGCACATCATGAACGGGGGCGCACTCAGTTTCTACTACAGCCACAACAGTTATATAACTTTCTGTAAATGTTGACAAAGTGGTTTTTATATGTCAAAGTAGGCACTGACAAATAAGGCGAAATGCATCTGATCCAAGGGCGGATCCAGGGGGGGGGGGGCCAAAGGGGGCCATGGCCCCCCCCAAAACGAAACCAATTTTTTTGTTTTTTATGTGACATCGCAATAAAGGCAGGCAATGCGTACACCACCATCTTTTCCTCAAAAAAACATTGGTTAAAGTGGTCAGAAATTGCCTCAGATCGCACCACAGAGCATCTAGAATCCAAAATTTTTTCGGGGCCCTTAAGCGGGCCCCGAACCCCACGCCGTAATTGTTTGACCCACTTTTTTTGGGGGACCAAAAATTTTTTTGGCCCCTCCCAAAATTATGTTCTGGATCCGCCCTTGATCTGATCCAACTTTTCGGATGGGGGGGGGGGATGTCACACCCCCTCCCCAACTAACCCTATCACCATAATTATTGCAACAAATCCGTTATGGGCCGAATATTTATTTCCAATATTGCCTAACCGTGGAGTTATTCCTGGACTTACAAGGGCCCACCGCGCAACGACCCGGCAAGTAGGGGCTGTCCCAATAGACAGGAACCACACGACAACTGACACAGATCTCACCTTACAGACATTACTCTATGTCAGTGATAATACTGTCAGTTTCCAGGAATTCAGTACAGTGAGTGTGTATACAAACGTGTCATATTTTGTAATACATGTATGTATGCCAAACGCACGTGTGTTGCTCGCGCGTGATTAATACGACAAGTGACTCAAGCGGAATTCAGTGACCCGGAAGTTCGAACTTGCTCTATGCTATAATGCGCATACAAGCCAGACGTGATACATAAAGGGCAGTGATACACTACAAGAAGCATGTACATGTGCTGTGTTTTCATGTAAAAATGGATCAAACCGTGCGAGCTACAGAGTAAAGCGTAGATGTCATCGTGTGGTATGTGCAGGATCACCTGTAGCGCCGGCCCAAGAGCCTCGAGAGATACTACCGGGGGCTCCTGTTGCAATTCGGCGGCGAGGGGGTATACAGAACAGGGGCGAAGGGCACCCAAGATACTAAAGATGGCCGAACTTATGACAGCCGTTAAGACAGGAGATTTGCAATTTGTGCAGAGACTGTTCTCTATGTTTAGCCAGGAGGAGGCAGGGGATGTTGTGAAGTACCAGACGCCGGAGACGAGAGAGACTTTTCTCTTCAGTGCGTGTGTCAAGGGACAAGTTGAGATGGCGCGGTTCTTGCTGTCAGTTGGACGGGGCCAGAGGGACGTAGGCACGGCCTGGGGTGCCGTGCCGCTACACGCTGCTGCTGAACGGTCTCATGAAGCTGTTGTCAGGTAGGATCACTAGTCTTTAGCTCGGTGGGCCATCTCTTGCTTTGCCGTCGTTTTGTTGTCTCCATTAATTTTCTCATTAAACATATTTATTTGTTTACTTGCGATGGGAGTTTACCCAGTCCTTTATAGAGATAAATAATATGATTTCCTACATTTTGGTTTTCTCCATTTACAAACTTTAAATTAATAAAACATTTTTCCCCCAATAATTACCTCTGGCCAGTAGAAAATACTATACGGATCACTCGAAAGCATTGTGGTATGAGAATCCATTTTGTATTAAATATATTTTCACCAGTATTCCAACTGATACCGTCCGCGTTAGCTGTGTGTCGACTAATTTAACCAATGAAATGAAATTGCATAACCAATGGTTGGTTCTTCTCCTAAAAACTTCCACAAGGGAGTATAACAAGGAGGCCCAAACACAATGTGTGCTATATCGAGTCTTTAGAATGAGACACCAATATCATGAGTAATAATTAAAAGTGAAACTGAGTCACTGTATAACAATGGAATTTGTATATTTGATTTTATAACTAAATAGGGTGCATATTTACAATCTCAATTTTAACACATGACAAAACCCCGCAACAACTTTATTAAATTCAAGTTGAAGAACTCACAATGAAAATCCTTTCCGCCAGTATTTCTTATTATTCAACCCCTTTGTTACTGCCCGGAAGTGTGTCGCATTATCATGTCGTAGTGTACGCGTCAATCTGAAAAACGGAAACATCGCAAAGCGTGATTAATCTGGTAGGCATTGCCTCCTCTTTTACGCTCTTTTCATGAAAAGACGGAGGCGTTGCAGACAAAATGCGAGGAACACGAAGCTTGCACAATAAAGAGCCGGTTTTCAGCTATTTCTCTGAACCGAGTCTAGTCAGAAAAGCTGTTTAAAAGGGTTTGTTCTTGTTATAAAACCAAATATCTTTCTGAAGACACACTCTGATCGTGTGCCAAATGCCATGCTTGTATCGTCAAAGGCACAAGACCCACAAATATTTCCCCTATCTGCCCACTATGTTTGTTGTTTTGTTTGGGCTCTTGGAGTTGTCTAATGGGGGCCACGGAAGAGAGCTCGGGGTCGAATATCCAGTTATTTTCCAGTCATTTAAATTGTCTGCAATTCTTCAACCCAGTCATAACTTTAAAATGCCAAACTAATTTTTTTTTAAATGTCTTTTAAATGTTAGGTTTAATACCCAGATAGTGCTTCACATTTCACATTGATAACATGAAACATGTTCTCGGTGTTGCATTTTTACTTTCATTACTTTGCCTCAACTCATACCATTCAGTTTCTAAACAATATAGAACATGATGACACACTTTCCTTTAGTGCGGTTGCGTTGGAAAATCCCTCGTTTGCCTGTAATATTTCATATCAAACTGTCAAAACGTTTACATTTTCTTTTCAAAGAACTGAGCCAACATGCCATTTTTTCCGCTTGAACTTTGCTATGAATTCCGTATCGGTCTCATGTAACATCAGACTACAAAGACGGGAAACTCATATTTAGTTTCGTTGCGGTTTATTATATAATAGTACATGTTTTTACAATCAACATTTCGACGTGAACTGGCGAAATTGAAATAAGTATTTGCAACGATGTAGGGGAGAGGTCGCACGCAGACGTATCAAGCATAAAAGCCATTGCAAGGATAAGGCAACCCGGTTGATCTGGTGAACATCCTTGCAGTCGACACGGGAAATCCCCTTGCAGTGACGTCAGGTACGGCCAACTATGACGTCACTATGGGAAATCACCGTACCACCGGCACTGACTGGGTCGCTGCGCTAGTGGAGCAAGGACCCGCAATGTCCCGTCAGGCACGTACGCTGATGTCACATTGCACAGTTTGCGGTTGAATTGGCGAACTCAGTAATTTTACATGCATCATTGCCACTGTGAACTTAAAATGTCTCCGTGTTTTTTTGTTGTTGCAGAAACTCGAGAAGCATGTTTTTAATATGTAAGATCGAGCTTTTTTTAAGAACATTTTTGAGTCTTCCTTCAGGATAGTTGATCAGTAGGACATATGGGCAACCCTGTAACAAGCCCTAAGGAGGGGTTTAATGTAAAAATTGAACTTTACGAACATTGAGGACTCGATATCCTATTTTTTTTTTTTACGAAAACGGCATCCCACCCTACTTCCCCCCCTCAAGAAAGACAGATATCAGATAGAAAACACGACAATTATTGGACAAGGAAACTGATGTTTTTTTTTATGCGAAAGAATTATTGTACACAATAAGCACAATGAATAGCAAGTCCTAATTATTACACAGTGCCCTTAGATCATACAGGTTGTAAACGAGTAATTATTACTGAAGGTTTACGTGATTTGTTTTTGTTATTATTACTGGTTTGTTGTAAAACAACTTGTGTCAATGAAGCCGGCGATGGGTTATTACTAGTCGGGAATGTTAATGTTCTTCCCCAAACACGTGTATTCCCATCTGTCCTTGCTCTAGGGTTTTACTGACCTCTCATAAGTTCTCAGTTTTCACATACTATAAGGAACACGAAACTAATTTTCTCAAGGCAACTGAGTTCAATTACTGGCGAAACAAGGAAGCACATTGACTTTATAATGACACGCAACGGTTTCTTTCTGCGAAACAAATGACGCGTGTGCGGAAGGATAGAGTGCAATGAACGCTGTGCGAGCCTTGAAGTACGAGAACTTCCGTGTGGATGGACGGAAATTCCGCAAGATGCTTAGCCATACAAAAACTTAGAGTAGGCTGTCGAGGAGTAGGAAGGGGAAAATGGCGGGAAAGGAAAAGGCACTGCCTGTCTGACAGGCCCAATTTGTCATCAGGATGTAGACTGGTAAGACATTCCGGTTGACACACATCGTAATATCCCCACTTAAAAAACTCGGGGAAAATACTCAAAATTCTCACAGGTATTCACGACATCAAACGAAAGCTTGATGGACTATTAGTCACTTTCTGTTCAATTTGTTTGGGGATAAACTTATGGCCTTTGGGTGATTTGACCACTGTAAAGTTATTCACCCCTAAAAGCAGTCCTGAAGCCATTCTGAAAAATAAACCTTCCGCTCCATTACAAAATGGAGCGAATGTCGGGCCCAATGTCACCCCAAATAACTTAGATAATGTAGATTTAAAAACCGGTGCAGAGCGGGCCGCGAATTGTTTTTTCCCTAAACAACATCCGTTTCTCATCTTCTGATTGGTCCATTACATGCATATCTAATGCCTTGTTCTCCACAACACAAACCCAAGATCACTTTAGTTATATAAAATGACTGAGTGAAAAACGCTCACTGGGATTCGAACTCGGATCACATGCTTAGAAGTCAGGACTAAAACCAGTCCACAAATCAATTGCTAATCGTCAGTAATTAGCGGGCCCCCTTTCCAACGAACCCCCGATAAGTGCAGAGACCATAAAACTTCACATTACGAGACCAAAAACGGTATACAAATCGTGATTTGGCCGGCGCAGGCAAGTTTTTCCTACTTGTCTGCAACCCTCGGTGATTAGTCGAGCGAAGTCCACTTTGTAACCACGTACGATACGAGTTGCCGCAGGCTAGGCCCACGATCATAAAGGCAAGCTTGGTGGTATGAGTTTCTTTATACAATCCAACGTGACTTATCGGCCACGAATGTGGGAGATAACAACGACCAAAAAGCGGGTGTTCTTCAGTTCAAGGTCATTGGAATCGGGGGCGGGCCGGGGTACGGGTGTAGGCCATTCTTGTTAAATAATTCGACGGATAACGGCACTTGAGATATAACCGGATATTCCCACGGGATCCTGTAATAAAGGTGACAAAAACCGGTACATTCATAGCCTTGGTCCAAGTCTGGATTTGCTTTTTATTTCCTTTATACAGCCTGTCCGTGACAAGCGAGGTCACTATCAACAACATGAATCAAATCCAGTCTTGGGAATATTGGCAGCGCTACCCAGGAAATTCTTCTGAGCATACCTCTCGCGCTGTACTCAAGCTAATGCACGCGCGTGAGGTATGCTCGAAATATCCTGGGTAGCGCTGCCAATACTGCCAAGACTGGGTTTGATTCCTCGTGTTGATAAAGACCACGGCGGCAACTTAACCGCGTTTGTCACGGAACTAGCTGCAGAAATAGGGGAATAAATTCCAGTCTCGGACCCAGACTAGTATATACATTCATTGCTCTGCTGCAAATGTTTGAACAGATTTCAATGACCGTGCGCTCTATTTTTTATTCTATGCGCTAGCTTATACGAAGCTGCTATATAAAATTAGCAATTCAATTTGAAAAAAAATCGGGATTTACGATGCCCCGAATCACGGACAAAATAGTTTCACAGAAGTGACTTTCCCCTGAAAAATGAGAACATAACATCATACTTCTATTTTCAACTTTTTTTCGAACAGCACCCGGTATTCCACCTTACAGGATATGATTGAATTGAATGGGTTCCAGGGCCCAACACACAAAAGTTGTCAAAGTTTGCAAAGCTTGTCGCACCTGTGTTTGTTAGGTCTCCCCATGAATTATGTTTTAACCTTTACAAGTTTCAGAGACTTTGACCTTCGGAACATAGTTTGACAGAAGAAAAACCTACACAAACAGACGTTAACATTTAACACATTCTGATGCAACGTTGTTAGCCTGAAAACAAAATCCGGGTTATTTGTTTTCCTGGCTGAATTGAAAATCAGAATAGACCCCGGATCGGGGGTTCGGAGACCGAACCTGCATGGTGGGGACCGAAAATGCCGGATATACACCCCCTGGAATACCCGCATTGTCCCGTCCCATCCCCCAGGATTCCTTGGAATTGTTACGGTCCCTGGGTGTATCACTTACCGGATGAATACGTTCTATGGTTCGGCATCCTCAAACTGTTATCAGAATTTACCGTAATTCATTCATGCTTACAAAATACACCCGGAACTTGGTCAATGACAAAATTTTCTCCAAGAACACTGAAAAAAAAGTAGTTTCTGAAAAAAGAGACGGGAAAATGACCTCACTTCAATCAGGAATTGGGTATTTTGTCCTCAGTTTTCTCCTCAAACGTAATTCCTTCTTGTGATGGAAGAAGTTGGTCTCGGAACTGTCCTTTCCACATTTCCGTGGTTTTGGATCCAGATTTTCAAATTAGGTGTTAATCATCCAATGTGGTCTTGCTGTTCCCCCATATCAGGATCATTTGCATTTAAACCAAAAGAAACCTACCGAATTATTATCAAAAGCTTACTTTCATTAAAGATCGTATACTCCTACTAAACACCCCGTGAAATTCTTCCGTCTGGCTTGCTGTCCTTATAGTCCTGGGAAAAATCAAGAAATGTAGGCGTTTTCCAACGATCAGTCAACTGACGGATCTTTGGAAATAAAGAGTGCTATTGACAGCATCGTGTTCCCTGCGTGATCAAAAGGTTGACCTACATGGTTTTCACTGTTTTTCGAAAAGTGTATCCACTGAGCTGAAACTTCAACAGACTATATAGTTTTGAACGTTCTTCTGTGGAGTTTGAGCGGTGTGAATCGAAATGAACAAAATGCATGAAACGTATGATCCTAAATGCCTTTACATGGGCGTCGATCGGGGGACGGAGGGGGGGGGGGGGGTCATATCGTTTTTCCCCAAGCATTTATTCGTCCCCGAATAAAGATCGTAGCCTATGTAGTTCAGGATATCTGATTCAATGACTTGCTCGAAAACGATATTTAAATTATGATGCTTTGCTAAGAAAATTGTGTTAAAGTGGTCAAAAATGCGTCTATAGAATCTCATTTTTTATAGAGGAACGTTTTTTTTCCGGTTTGAAGTACATGATTATTATAATACAGATCAAACATTGTTGATGTAATGTGTACAGCCTCTTCGCTGTTCCCATTAGTATTTCGCAAAGCAAATAGTTTAAAACATACACAATTAAGAATATTACGTACTTACTCCGCATGCTAATTATTATCTTATAAGAGGATGTCATTGGATGCATTGTCCCTCTTACATAAGGGGCTGACAGTCATGAGGGGATAATTTCCCCCTAAAGCGTACACATTTCCCCCATGCAGTACACGCCGGTCTTTTTGGTCCAATATAAACATCTATTTATTATTTTCGTCATCAGTGTGAACAACAGTCATCGGTCGAAGTGAACGACGACCTTGTAAAATGAGGAAAACAAAAAGGGGGCCCTTCGTATCCGTTTCCTTTTTCCTTCTCGTAGTGTTTTGTTCTTTCTTTGGGGGTGGCCACAGCAACCGTGCAAACAGCTGGCGATCGTGGGTAACGTGCTGATTCACAAAACAATAAATTCAAGATTTCAGATCCGGATTCGCAACCGTTAAAATACGGATACGACGACTGGTTCAATATTACTCAATCTTTCTGCTTTCTCAGACAATTTTAGTTATTTTGAGATAGGCATACAGTGGCGGATCTGCGGGGGTTAGACTGGTTTAAGGCATTACGTTAGGTTGGTGGGGGAAAAAAAACTTGCTCTTTTGAAAACTGTTCCTCAAGTCACTGTCGTCAAAGCAACTATTTCTTCATCCATGGTCAAACTCGAAGCCAAGATATTTCACGGGCAGATTTATGTTTGGCTGGGAGGGGGGGGGGGGGGGGTAGCTTATCAAGATGGGAATTACCACGCATGCGCAATTGTTTTTAAAGGTAACTGCCTTCTGAATATCACCATATTTGAAAAGTCTGGCTCAAAGGAAATCGTATACTGCCCTTCATTTTCCGAGAAAGTGTCGAAGACTAAACTTAAAATTACATCTGACGCGGGATTCACATTCTTTTTTTGACATGATATGCACACATTTACGTGTTTTCAGCAGCGAATAAAGTAAATTATAATGAACAAATCAATGTCAGACTGCAGAAAGTATGCATCGTATGAAACACTGATCGTATGAAAAAAAAAAGATCCCACAACTATGTAGCCTACATTTTACACTTTGGAATTCCTTCACACGATTATCACGCGAAAACCGCCAATTTGCAAGGGATGTTACGGGCACTATATTGTCATTGTTTAATGATCTATCCTATTATGTCATGGCACATGAGCATCACAGCCCCAAACGGCGCATTCTAGACGAAAGTGCCCCTTATTCAAATGCACCGAAATCTCTAATCTTCCCTCAAGTTTCTAAATCGCCAACTTTCTTTCCAAAATCCGAAATCTTTAAAGTTCAGTCAAGTTTCTAAATCGCCAACTTTCTTTCCAAAATCCGAAATCTTTAAAGTTCAGTCAAGTTTCTAAATCGCCAACTTTCTTTCCATTTTGTGTGTGTGATGGTACAGGTTGCTTTTGACGAACGGCGCCGACATGAACGCCCAGACGAGCTACGGGGACACGCCCCTCCACCTGGCCGCCTATCGGGGCAACTATGCAATAGTCAGGTGTCTGGTCGAAGCCGGATGCAACTTGAATATCGTGAATTCTAAGGGGAGGACGGCACTGGATGATGCGTCCGCGGCCAGACATGGCCGCATTGTGCAGTACCTCGGAGCGGTCATGAACCTAGGTATGTGCAATCATCTTTTGTCTTCTTTTCAGTTTACCATTAATTGATACACCAGGCCAATGTGTTAAAAAAGTATATAAAGCATAAAGCACAGGCCAAAGTATCCAATATTTAGAAAACAAAAAGGTAAAAAAAACCAAATTAAATCATTGCTGATTTATTTTTGGTTTAGGTAATGAGGACTTCGCTAAACACCAGCAGGAGAGAAAAAAAGACAATGACAAGATAGATTTGATGAAGACACGGCCACTGGTTCCACCAATCAAATTACACCAAATGCTGGACCGTTCCATTTCATGGCATAGTTGCCCTAGCGACATTCTCCAAGGTAACAGCGACAGCTGGCCTGAAGGCGGGGCTACAGATACCTGGCGTAGCGGGAGGAGACACTCTGCTTTGTCGTCGTTAGGGTCAGAATCGTCTGGAAATGACCTCAGCATGGCAACGGCTGGTTCCCCGCGGTGGGACGCGCACAGCAGCATGAACGTCATCCCGGAGGTCTCCAACGACGCCGGGAACCAACAGCATCAGCAACTTGCTGCAACATCCACAGCGACACAAAACCACGCAGCTGCGAGAACGTGTGCCGAGAAACGGCGAGATTACAGGAACCGAAGCGCCAGCGACTCCCGAGTGGAATATCTGGAGAAGATGGTGGAACACCTTCGGCTGGGGCTGGCATCGACTCAGGAGGAGCTTGGGAGGACAAGGTTGGAGCTGAGACGAGCCAAAGACAGTCTGAGATTATCCCCGTGTGGGACGAATACTGAAGATGGCCCAGGGTGTGTGTGTAGGCCTAATGATACTGTAAGATTGGTTCTAAATGTACGGGATCGGGATTTCTAATAGAAATTTCTAATTTCTAATATATACATATATTTTAAATACACAGTTAATGTTGACAATTATCTATAGAATGTAGCTTGCATTAAAACAAGCACATTTTCAGGCAAAGCTGATCAACATGTTATTTACCAATTAACCGGTCATATTCGACTTTTACTTTTCACATTATCCGGAAATAACGGTGTAAATTGGAAAACGAAGAAAACTTGTGATTTTAAGTTTACTTTATAAATACCTTACTTTATTTGCATCATGAATTGCTCCAGAATGCGTTAAAGTGTTACACTCACATACTCGCTTATTTTGTTAATATATTCACAACACCTCACTGAAAAGTGAAAACCAAGGTTAAAGGTACTGGCAAGCGGTCCTTGAATAAATATCTGATTATCATGATATTTCGATTGACTGATTGATTTTGCTTCCCCATGTTGGTACCAGAAAAAATATACGCAACCGTTCCTTCTGTAGGGGTACTTTTTTCATAATGCATGCATGGATAATATATACATTTCGCAGTTTTGAAATAACTTTTAAAAGAAGTTGTAGATATTGCTGATAGTCTTTCTCCTGACTTTATTTTTTTTACGCCACCATCAAGAAATAGCGGCCTTCCACCTTTCAGAGGGCCAGTGCAAACCAGATATTTTGTGTAAAAATTTTCTTTAGTTGACAATGTATATTTTGGCAAACGCTTTAAACAGAATTTATTTTTATGTGATATATTTTATGTTAAATTTTGCTTATATGTATTTGGGGCAGTTACAGGGGAATAAATGTTTACCCCTCGCTATTTAAAGGGGGGGGGGTGAGGTTTTAAAATATTGCTCACTGAAAAGTTCGCGAAAGCAGTGAATAACCAGTGATATAAGACACGCGCACGGCGTCTTCGTGCGGTATAATAAGAACAAACACGCTTTTGGTATAGAAAGCCAGCATAAATAATTCTCTATGAGAAAACCAAGTTGAGAAAACTTCTCATTGTTTACACAGAATTCATAGCTATAAAGTTTTACCTTTTTTGCTTATGCATTTGGTTATCCGACTTCAATTTTGGTAAATACTTAAACATAGTGATTTGTAAATTTAAGTCTGTAAATACTTATTGAACAACTCTTTTTTTTAAAAAATAATAAATTCTATGCAATTGTTTTAAAATGAGTTAGTATAACTTGACCTTTATTTCGAACTGATGTTGTTCGTCATTATATAAGCAGTTCCGTTTCTAGGTGATCGTGTATATAAACTAAATAATATAATGTTAGCAACGTGGACGTACATCCACCTGCACTGAGTGGGTTGTTTCCGGTTATTCTTTACAATGGCGTCACAATAGAAGGACACCACAATTCGTTGAACGAGGGGTCACACAGAGTTTCCGCACGCACACCATTTTTTGGTTTACCTCGAAACAATTTTATATATTCTAAAGCATGAAAGCTAACATTGATCAGTACATTTCGAAGTCAGGTTCCAATTCTTAAGCCCGGATTTGCTAGAAATAACCATTTTTAAAAAAAAGTTAGTAGTAAAAAAGGGATATGTCTGTCCCCGAGCCAATATGGCCCATCAGGCCGGCGTTTATCTCCGGTTCCAGTGGCATGTAAGAAGTTGTCGAGTAATTTTTGGGTTAGCTGTAATAAAAAACCCAGTCTTTCAAAACAAAAATCACCCTAGAAAAACATTAAAATCTTCTTGGAAGACTGAATTTAATTTTTAAAGGACAATTTTACAGAATTTATATATTTTGTATTCATCCGTTTACAACAAGTCTTCATTGATGTTATTAAGAGTAATCTCAAAACTAGAGGTCTGATGATGCAGAAAATATTGACCTTAATTAAAAAAGAAAAAACTCGTTACAAAAGTAACACAGTGAAGTGTATTGTAAGCTTTTTTTCGTTTAAAAACTTTTTTCTGGCGGAAAGAAATCCATTCGATGAATTTTCTTTTTCAACAAGCCACACATATGATAGTTTATGGATTATCCCATTGCATAGCAAAGGTGTATGATATGGGAGCATGGATTCGGCGATTAATTATGCAGAACAAGACTGCGTCTTGAACTTGAGATTCTGACCATTCAGCGGGCGCCTTTTATGGGGTCTTCGGTAACCCGTTGTATTATAAACGTGGTAGCTAAATTTACCAATCAACAGTTTAGTCCACGTTTCTGATAGAAATGACGTCACATTTCTAAAGTCGACTCCGATCATTGGCTGGCGCGGAACGGGGGGGGGGGGGGGGGGGGGGCAGGGGACACTTGCCTCCCCCAGATTTTCCCAGGCCAACAGAAGTACCCCTCTAGTGTGACCCCTCGAGATGAAAACAAAACTGCCCCTCAAACGCACACGTATAAAACATATGATCGCACTACAAATAGATTGTCTCCGCTCTTGTAATGTATAACTGCCCCTCAAAAACACAAGTGCCCCTCTCGCATTAACAAGATTGTACACCTTCTCGAGATGGAAAACTATACCCCTCGAAGGCACAAATACCCCTCTCGCAGTAATAAAATAATATTGTGTCCCTCTCGAGATGGAAAATTGGCCATCAGAACAATAGTACACCCCTCGCGATAACTTATCGAGATGGAAAACTGCCCCTCGAAAGCACAACTAGTGCCCCGCTCGCAACATTTGAATTGTGCCCCCTCTCGAGATGGAAAACTGGCCCCTAAAATTAATAGTGCTCTTCACGCGAATAAAATGGTCACTGAATTGGCCATCAAAAACAACAGTGCCCTCTCGCGATAAACAAAGATCTCTCTACATAAAAGAGACATAAAGAGCAAGATGGACAACGTATTCCTCGTCAAAAAGATTTATAGCAAAATGAACGGGATCATATTCCGTCCTCCACTTTCACACCGACGGAAGGTGCCCCTTTTTTGGTGTTGCTCCCCCCCCCCCGTTTGAAAAGCGTTCCGCCGGCCCTGACTCAGACTAATGTACAGACTAATGTAGGCCAGCTTTCCTGAAAAACGTGTAGGCGCGGCTATCGGCACTTTCAGCAACTCGGATTGTTCCTTACGGTGATATAGCGCCCCCAGCGGTTGTCAAAGTTTTGATATCGAAAGTCTTCAACCAAAAACATCCACGATAAGCATTTTTGTATAGTCAGAATTATGACAATTTCACCCATTTAACTTGGACTGACGAAGGATGATAGGCTCTTCAAAATTACAATATAAACGAAACATAAATTCAGAGAATATCAAAATAAGAATACATGAAAAACAAAAGTCGGCTCCAATCAGGCACAAAAAATTATATTTATCCAATGGAAAAGGGAAAAATAATATATGAATCAGAATCGAAAGGTGAATAAGTTCATATTTCAAATATATTTATTTCTTTACACATGCATGACATTCTGACTAATAGCTTGATGCCGAGTTTATTGGAAATCGGACAGTGTGATGTTACAAAGGGGTAGTTATACATTAATTTCAACAGATTCTAAATTCAGCGTTCTTCATTGAGAAGAATCGCTGCCGGCACATAATTTAGTGTTGACATTAAGTCTTTCCAAAAGATTCAGGAAGTAGTGATACGGATAAGTCTATAATCCGCCGGGTTGCGATTATTTGTGTTAATAGATATTAATGAATGAAAGGTTTGCGGAAACACCATGTGCGAATAATTTCTCAACTAAGAGAATGGTTCTGAAAAGAACATCTGAAAAGAACGTAAACCTCTGGTTCTTTTCAGAACCATTCTCTTAGTTTGAAGAATTATTCGCACATGGTGTTACCGCAAACCTTTTATTCATCAGTATCTCCACCATGCAAAGCCTCAAATCTTACTTAATAGATATTGCGCTTTAGTCCAAGAAAACCAACTACAAATTTAAGGTAATTTTTTTTTCAAATGCTGAGACATTTCTTAAAATGAAATAAACAGTCTAAATCATTTTAGATGCTGTAAAAAAACCTTCACCGACTTCCTAGAGCAAAAACCAAACCAAAAATCTAGTAAAACAAGCCTTCACTACGGAAAGGTATTGCAAGAGTGTACACAAACAGTGACAAACTCAGAAACAGCCAAACTCCCCCCCCCCAAGGCCTAGCTGTTTTCAGCATCCACACAAACACCACATACTAAGATGTCAGTTACACATTCACAAATAATGCCAAATCATTTAAATTACATCAATTCAAATTATAACACAAAATTAAAAATACTAACATTGATAGGATCAAGTCTGTTGACATTAACTGTTGTGTCCTATACCATCAATGGCCACAACCAAAGACCATGCATTCAAAACAAAAGGCACCTTAACATTCTAGACTTGGCACTTACAAAAACGCACTACACCTCTTGGTACAATTTGAATTTCTGTTCCAAGATCAGGGCAATTGCCCTCTGTCTGCAAGTTAGCCACGCCCCTCAGACAATCCTATGGAATTTTGTATGTTCACTTTTGTTTGTCTCAGATTTGAGCGTTCCGAATCCATTTGTATATCATGTAATTGGATAATAAGTCACAGGCTGCGCTGACGCGATTGGACCGATCCAGTAAGCTCCGCCCACTGCGCACGTGGGCAAATTAACACGTGCTCCTCTCCAATGCCACGCTGCATTTTTCTTCCGCGCGCATCATACGCGCGTGCACGCATGTCGGACTTTTGTGCGCGCATGTCGGACATAAATCACTGCTGTGATTGGTCAGAACACCATGGGGCGATGCTTACTGCACCCGATTTCACGAAGCGCTGCGACGCGTCGCAACTCGAGTTACGACGTGTAACACGTCGCAACTCGCGACGCGTCGTATCTTCAATTTCACGAAAGTTGCGATGTGTTGAACGCGTCGTAAGTTCCTTGACAACGGCTTAAAACACGTCGCAAGTTAAGACGTGTCTAGCGGTCGTCGCAAAATAAGAAGAGTCATTTCTAAGCCAGTTTTATGCCATAAACATTACATTAACGAGATTATTATACCGAGGCAATGTGTGTAAAGTGATAAATAGAAAATTCATTGAATAATTATGAATTAGACCGGAATATTAGAATTGAAATTTCAAAGTAGCTATACAGTCCAATGAGAGTTTGTTTTCCTTCAAAATTGCATCGCACGGCTGCCATTTTGTTTTACGTTTTAACAAATTTCGAGCTGAGATCCGACGACTCTTTGTTGAATATCAGACGACTATTTACTGTACGCTGACTATATACATAAAACAGTCACCGAGTTGTGCTATAAATACACCTACGACGCGTCGCACTTACGACGTGTTTTGTGAAATGGATCGCAGGACGCGTCGCAGCTGCGACGCATCGTAGAGATACGACGCGTCGCATCGCTGCGATGCATCGTAAGTTACGAAGAGTTTGATGAAATCGGGTGCGATCGGTCGATTGAAGATAGAAGCAAGTAATAACCAAGTATAGACGAATCCACGAAAAAATCAATGCACACAGAAATGGCCCCTTCCATGGAGAAATCGTTGTGAACGCTATTGCACAAAGTGCCTCGAGATGAATCTGAACAATAGCTAGCCCAATGCTTTCGCCATTGAAGGGGGCCTTCGTGATAGAATTGATAGCATTCCTGAATTTGTCCATAGCTGAGATCTTATGTCACAACATGCAGTACTAAACTGACAAAATCACGATGTCAACTGTGATTTTTAGGCCAAGTACTTAAAGGGAATATACATTTGCAAACATAAAACAAAGCATCCTGCAAAATTGTGGCGCCTAGTGTGCTGACACTTCAAGAATAGTGTCATTTTTGTATCAATTTCCAATGATGGTCAGCCGACCAGCGTTTGAAAAAACTGCCTTTTTTCCAATACTGCCCCCAGTTTACCATATTTAATTATTCCGCATTTTGTTTGAAATCAGTTACACACCTATGATCGGATTCAAGCCAGCTAGACTGGTTCCCTGACCTTACAAGTTCCTGACATCAATAAATTGCTCTGTTTCATCTTAAGTGGGGTTGGGGAACCAGACTACAAGAACATGATTGTTTTTCTTGGTTTTTCCAGCATCTATGAGCACAAAACTTCAAACAAGTCAGTGTAACAATATTTGCTACAAAATACTAACCCCCAAATCCATCCATTTCTGAAAACTACAGCAAAAGCAAATGTTATATATTCCCTTTAAGTTATCTGAAATTATGGCTGGACTTTAGCTGGCGCTAACACACATGTGTTAATACACGTCTCCTTCCATAGGCAAATTTGTCATTGTTGAATGTAACTGAGTAACTCTGACGCAGCCTTACATAATTATGTTCACATTCTATAATGTACATGACATGGTTTTCAACACTGAAATCTGCTGATCCTGATAAATTCTGGACTATCATACTCCATGCCTCAAGCTGCTCTAAATGACTTTGGTGGGGCACCCAGAGGGCATAAAAGCAGAGTTGTGGGTTCGAATCCAGCAAAAGTCAAATTTCTCACCGAAGCACCATTATAAACTTCTCAAAGTCAAACATTAACAATCAAGTACATATTTGTAGTTCATAAATGTGTCTAGCCTTCCAAAATATTACTCCACTTTTGGTGGAACAATTGATGAGAGAAAGTTCTAAATTTCTTGCCTGAATAGAGACTGACTGGCTATTTACAACCTATTTTCACTGACATTTTCAGAGAGGTAGTCACATCCCGATGTTCGAGCAAGTGGCAAAAAGTGCGGAATTTAATGAGGTTTCATGTATGTAAATTTTAATTCTTGGCTGTCATGGTTACTTAATTGTTAGCACAGTTTCCTTGAGTTAATAAAACATATTATTTTTAAAATACAAGCTTATAAGGTCCACACCTATACATGTAATGCATGGCATGTCCAGAATAACTCTTACTATTTCTACAATTTTTTTTACAGATGAAATTGCAACTTCCAATAGCTGACAAATTTACTTAGAATTCCAGGAAAATATTATTTTGTTTTTGGAAGCTGCACAAGAAGTATAAAGTTTCATTAGTTTTGGATATACTACTTATATTGAAATTACAAATTGAATGAGAATGAACGTATAACGAATACTGGTATGTACGCATTATAAATGCCCCAGACTCCTAGACATCTTATAATTGACAAATCAGAGTAAAAGTTTAGCTTGACAAAATATACTTTGAAGTCTTTTAATTTGTTGACCATTACGCAAAGACAAAAATACACGCTGAAAAAAAAATAGAATAAATAAAATTCAAGCATCGTTGGGTTTCCAAGGTTTGTTTTGAGAGACAAACCTCTTCAGTCTCCGACATCGCTGTCTCGGTCGCCAAGCAACCAAGTGATGTAGAAGCCCAAGGCAAGCAACGCCGTGCCGAGGAGGTCACCGATGGCGGTCAGGTAAGGGATGGAGAAATTATCGGGATCCTTGGACATCTTCCAGAGAAGATGGACAAGCCAGTTGGCTGTGAAAAGAAGGAAGCCCACCTGGGGAACGAGGAGTCACGACATATGGTTAAGTTATTGTTTGGTAAATCAAACTAGGTTTTGCCCTCAAACTGGGTTTTGCCCTTCACCGATGTTTTATTGTTTTGTGGTATTATTATCGTTTTATTTTTTGGTAATGAAATCAAGGATGCCAGGCACTGTAGCTCACAAGCCTACTAAAGTTGTGTTCCCCATTCGCTTCAACAAATTCAATTTTCGCAATTTTCAAATTTGAAAAGGCATGGGAAATGCAACCAGAACAGGCGCGGATCCAGAGGGGGGTTTGGGGGTCAAAAAACCCCCCCAGCTCTGTAAAAAAAAAAAAAAAATCATACAAATTCCTAAAAAAATAAGTCGAACCCCCCCCCCCCCCCCAATGGTACATGGGTTCGAACCCTGCCAGGAACATGGTGTTTGTGCCCTTGGGCAAGACACTTAACAATTGACTCTTTCCACCCAGGAGTATAAATGGGTACCTGTGATGGTAGAGGCCATATGTGCGCTGACATAGGCTGCCGCTTGGTCTCGTGGCCTGATGAACGGGGAATAATTGTAAAGCACATTGAGATTGATGATATGATGGAAAGCGCTATTGTAAAGGGATGGGGATTGTAAAATCAACGATAAGAAAAATTCCTGACTCCAAACTGACCTGAATCAATGCCACAGTTAGATACATGATGGTGACTCGGACAGTAATGGAGGTGTGTCCAGCCTTGACCATTGAGATGAAGAATAAGAAGATCAGTTGACCAGGAATGACCATCAGGAACAGGACACGAGAGGATCGGGAATGCTCATCTGTGTGTGGGGAAAAGAAAATGTCAAGATTTGCCTGATTATTAATATTCGTATGATGGAATCTTTATGTCAGGAAGAAATTCTATCGTACATAATATTGCTTGATTGCAGCGCCTGCTTCTACATATATTCTAGAATCTAACCAACAAGCCAGCAAGCTTAGGCGAAGTTCGGGCAAGGACCATTAGTCGACCAGTGATTGATTTGTGACGTACCTTAGGCCTGCGCACTGATAGCAACGTGGGAACGTCTCTAGTCAAACGCTGGTCAAAATGTCGTCACAAAACTTCTGGATCCTGGCTCTCTGCTAGCATTATGAATGCGCGCGGCTATTGGTTACCAATGAAGCAACCAACCCCAGTAGGTTGGTTCCAAATAGTCGACTAGCGTAGTCAACCACCGTCGACTAGACAGAGTTCGGGCAAACGTTAGTTAACCATTGGTCAACTACAATCCTTGTGCGAACTTGGCCTTAGTAGTTGAATGGTTATGATTACTAAGGTCATGGGTTCGAGTCTCACCCGGGCAATCTTGTGATTTTTTCTTGAAACTCTTAGACTGCACGAGTATAAGGTGCTTATGAAAATTATGTCGATGAAGGGCAAAATCCAAAATTCGCCTGACTTTTTAAAGGCACATAGGATCATTTGCTGTTCATGCATTTTGTTTGTTTCCAATAATAACACCACTCAAAATCTAGAGAAAATTGTTCAAAACCTAACCTGTTGAAATTGCAGCTCAGTGGATATTACATGTTTCGAGAAAACATTGAAAACCATGCACAACCTTATGATCATGAAACACAATTTTGTCAACAGCACTCTGTTATTTCCAAAAATCAGTCTTTTGACTGATCGTTGGAAATCACCTACACCTCTTGATTTCTTCTAAATGACAGCAAGCCAGACTGAATAATTTAACCGAGTGTTTAGTACCAGTACAATCTCACCCTAACCCTGCTCAATCCTACAGGATCCAACTATTTCACATACCCGCTGGGTCCTAATAATAATAATACCGAAGTCTTATATAGCGCACGTATCTACCAACAATTAGGTACTCAAGGCGCTGGAAATTATGTCTATTATTAAAGACAGGTAAATGAAGTACATGAGAAATATGAGAACAATTATGTAGCACCTTTATAATGGTTTACAAGGTGCTGCGGCGCCAGAAACACCGGGGCAAACCCCTTCTCTTAGCGATAAGTGTTACTGGGTTCTTTAACGTGCATTACACAACACACGGGACCTACGGCTTCACGTCCCATCCGAAGGACGAAGCAACAATGGTAAAGCGCCATGCTCAGGAGCGCAAGCACCATGTTCCCACGATCAGGATTCGAACCCATGTACCACGGCAAACGAGTCGAACACCATAACTACTGGACCACAGCAGTTAACCCCTTGTACATATTCCTATTGAAATCTGTTGGATTCAGCAGGCGACTGACAACATTCTGTCAGATTCTGTTTGGGTTACGGTAAACAACGTCAAGTTGGACTCTGTTGAATCCAGCAGACAACAGAAACGTAAGGTATAGTTGGATTCTGTTGGATTGAGCAGGCCAGTCATTTTATATTTTCAGATACCAATAACTTGGCCAGTTGGATTGGATGGGACTGTGTTAGATTGAGTAGGAAACTCATATTAGTAACCGCCGGACTCTGTTGGAATTATCAGGGTAGTCCTGGGGAACTACTAAAGGGTTAGGGTTTTTAATCCAAATAATTTTTTTTATAATAATCGGTAGGTTACTTTTGGGATAAAAGCAAATGATCCTATATGCCTTTAAACTGTGTTTGGACTCACATTTTTTTTCAGAACTCACCTGAACCAAAAAACACTTTGAATGGGTTAAGGCACACTCCCAGTCTGCCCTCAGGCAGCACACCGGGCTGGCCCAGACGGTGTAGCTGTGTGGATATTCTACTCGCTTGGACGGCAACTAGGTTACCGCCGACACCGTTGATGACTGGACTGAAGACAGCGACACCGGCGTTCTGTCGGATGGCAACGTCTAGGACTAGACCACCGCAGCTGATGTGGGATGACAAATGGGGAAGTAATTCAGCGTCAAGTTTGGAAACTAATTCAATTTGTAAACAGCTTGAATACGTAAGCTTAAGGACAAGAATACAGCAAAACTATTTGGTGTCTTTTAAACAAAATCAACTGATTTGTTGCTGGTTTCCACTGAATCTCTCATCCCTTGGGACACTTCACTTGTCCCTTTGAGAAAGCAGCAATGAATGAGAAGCCTTGTCTTAAACATCCAGCCAGTGAAAAATCCTCTGTTTTGTTCAGGTTGCTTTGATGGCACATGACATGTACCAATTTACATTGAAAATAAGCAACATGTGAATAGCAGTATGTACACAACTGACTGCTTACTGAATGTGCAGAAGCGTACATACAGGGCGAGTAAAAAAACTAAACTCAAATGTCAGGACTATTGTTTTAGTGAAGTTCTGCATGTAGCACTTTCAAAATCTAGGATATGAAAGCCCAATTCATAAGCTTTCTTTTAGTACAAGAATCACTCAAATCACTCATGTACTTTTCAAGTTACGAAATTTTAAACACAACCACCGTTTTAAAGTTCTGTCCACGGATCACAAAAAAAGTGTGCGTTCTTTCAGCAAAACGGAAACAATGCACACACATCCCTATGTAATTTGTTTTCGTTTTGCTGAAAGAACACTTACCTTTTTGTGATTCGTGGACAGAACTTTAAAACGGTGGTTGTGTTTAAAATTCCGTAACTTGAAAAGTACATGAGTGATTTGAATAATGTTTGTACTAAAAGAAAGATTATGAATTGGGCTTTCATATCCTAGATTTTGAAGGTGCTACATGCAGAACTTCACTAAAACAATAGTCCCAACATTTTTTTTATTTTTTTTTACTCACCCTGTAGTGCATCATTTAACATTTCCATTATAATAGTAAGTACAGTCTGTCACAAGCCATTATGGCCCATCAACCAGGCGGGCGTTTATCTCCGGTTTCAGTGGCATGAAACGAATGAGAACCTTTTTATTCCCCCTGGGCGGGATGCTAGTCCATCGCAGGCCACTCCCCAGCTAATGCCAGTACCCAGTGGAGAGAGGCAAGTGGCGCGTAGTGGCTTGCCCAAGGACACAACATACAACCAGCAGCAGGATTTGAACCCTCTGACCATGAGTCACGAACCCCAACCACTAGGCCACACTGCCCCATTTTCCATTATACTGCCCACACATAACAGCGACATTTTACATCACCACTGTTAGTCAATGCACCCTGCGCATGGAGCACGCCCTCAACTGGTACGCACCTGCTAATCATCATGGCAATGATGACCGGACTCCAGCCGTGGTACAGCACGTCGTGGGTGTATTTATTGCGATGGGCCAACCATACCCATAGAGGTACTAAGAGTAGGAAGAACGCAATGATGCTGGGCGCCAGCCAAAGTCGCCTGGCACTCTCATCTTCACCTGAGTCAAACGAACCAATCAGAAGCTCATATCAAATTAATATCAAAATAATAATGATTACGCATAATGGGTCACTAGGGAGACATAATCACCCCATCACTGGTTCATATTTTACACCATTGCTGTTAGACTGTAACGTTACTCGCACACATATTCCATTCTATAATTGGTCACATGATGGTCAGTCACATGATGACCAGTCACATGATGACAAAATGGCAGCCGTCAATTTTGAATCATGTGACTTTCTTTGTTAATCTGATTATTAACATAAATATTGCATCCGGTGAAAATCAGAGTGCTGCCTGCACATCTTTCCTGTGTCATTGGATCTTGTGAAATGAGATTAAAAAAAATCAAACATGTTTGATTTCACCCGGTCGCCCTGTATATGGTCAGATCAGTCCGAATTTTCGGTGCACACCTCTATACGATGGCTCGATGATTCCGTGAACCGGTAAAATCGGAACGGTGTGCGCCCGGCTTTAGACTTCTGACTATCAACCTCTGATAAAGACTTTGACAAAAACGGCCTCAGGAGAATTTCACGGGGGCTGCTAAACAGAAAGTTGTGCTCGGCAAGTTTACGTGCTAAGTATGAATCAGCAGGGAACCTGTCACATGCCATAAGCATTGTATGAAATGAGGCTGGTAACCGTTTTTATGCTAGGCAAATAATTTGAGCAAATGTTCTGCTTAGCACATGTCATGTCTCTGCTTACCGTTAGCGCAAAATCCCTGCTTACTGTAGCAGAAAATTCCATGCTTACGGTCAGCTTATTTCTCAGATTAGCGAGGAATTTTGGCTTATTCGCATGCGTACTTCCTCACATAATATTTCTGCTAGCGCTCCTAGCACAGAATGGTAATCGTAAACGTGAAATTCTGTGGTTAGCAGAGCTATGAAATTGGGCCCAGGTCCACAAAAATTGACCTCAACGAAACCTAATGTTGTGGTTGTGTTAAACTCAGTCCAACTTTTCCTACCAATAGAAAACTTTGACCCTTCCTGGGTGTACTTGTTCTACATAACCACCGAGGACCGACACACAAAGGGAGAACAACAGATCCTTTCAGTCCTCTGGAGTTGGGTCTTTTGTTGAAAACAGTCCTCAGTGGCTGGTTCGTGTGCTTAGTCTACGGGAGAGTGTTATATTTCAGAGACAAAGGAAAACACAAAGCATTGTCCTCGGGAGTATAGTGAAACAAGAGTGCATATTTTTACCTATTGCCCTGTATAGCAGACTGGTGATCCATGAGAGTAAGGCAAGCGTTGTGAGATCGCCCAGGCTGGCTGCTATGGGTGTAGCCACATTGTCGGGATTTATGTGACACTTTTTGGATAGAAGTACGACAGCTACCATTATAGAACCTGTGTAAGTGAAACAAAGAGAAGGGGAATGGCCAGGTGAGTGTTCATGTTGCTAATCTGTAAACCCGTCCCCTAACCCTGCTAGACGCAACACAGTGCATCTGGTGGAAAAGTCTGGTGCACTTTGATGCATTCAACTACCAACATCAGTGCATAAACGGCCACTCCCGAGACAATGAGAGCTAGTCTTATGGAACAATGCCACAGTTGTATCCTGCTGCATTCAGTGACCACAGACTCTGCGGCAGTTTGGCCTTGAGACTTTGGCCTGATGGATCGCTTGGGTCGGCTGGCCGGATCGAGTCTCAGATCTAAAACACGCCTATCTGGCATACAACTGGGAATTTTGAAAATCGAGGAAACTCTAAACCACACAAGACTTTGTACAGTGTTTTTCAATTTGTAATGGCATTCATGAGAAGAAAAACACGAGGAAATCAGCGGATCCGAGGAAAAGTTGCATGCCTGCTATCAGCTGTACGATAGTGAGACTTCAACCGGAAATGCTTGTCTGAACCAGTCAGGAACACTGGCTAACATTGCCAGATATTGTCACACGGAGTTCATCTTCAAAATTTGCCATCTTGATATTGCTTTTTCAATACGCGAGTACCACTGCCCAATTTGCTCCTCTGATGTGACTTGAAATTTATGATTATTGCAATGCATTGTGGACTAATGCCTGTGACACGCACAAACTCTGGACTTTAATACTACTTTGAATGACACAGTGAAGAGGTGTACATGTAGCGTTATAGACAGACAGCTAAACTAACAGACAGACACACTGGTCCCCCTGCACTTACCCAGAATCCCGCTGGCTAGGGACGCAGTGACCATGCTGCTCGCACACAGCAGCAGAATGTGATAAATATTAATCTCTCCGTCTGGAATGTAGCCCATGATAGCGGCGGCGATCGAAGCCAAGAAACCGACCACCAGTGCCTGACACTGAGATATAACAAATAAATCAACAAATCACTGGATAAATGTCATGTGTCCTTTCAAAACAGAATCTTCTGATCAAGAAGTAGGGTTTTTAGCTACATGTATTGTTAAAAAAGAGTCGAGATTCTCTCTTTTTTTGAACATTCGCACGGCAAATTATGTCAATTTGAAGTTGTTGATTTTATAAAAAGATGAAGACAGAGAAATTGCGTGTTCAAGTTTTGGAATAAGCATTTCTTGACCTGATACGCCTCTATAAATCCTCCAGAAAGATTACCTAGAAAGGCGAAATTACATATATTACATATGACGAATTAATTTCCAAAATGTCACATATCCATTTCAAAAAGGTGAGATGCTTTCACAGCTTCATGGTTATTAAAACTTTCAGAACATACACAGCAGTGTGTTTAACTGTGGAACAGTTGTCCAAAGTGACTTGGGGCAACCAGTAGAGGGTGGTTGCATTTTTAAAACAAAGTCTTCATAATATGTAAGATCACAAATTTCCCCAAAACAAAAAAGGATAATCTTCACAACATTTTTAGTTCATTTCTCCAAAATGTACAGCTCTGCCCAGAATGGTCTGGCTTTAACAGAACCTGTCACAAATTTGTTGACTTTGAAGGATGTCAAAACATGACTTTGTTCCCCTTGCGCCCCTTGAACAAAGACACTGACAAGCTGGGTAACGGCATTAGTTGGTAGAGCACTGGAACGGCAATCTGGACGTCGCAGGTTCAAACCCCACTCCAGGCAATTTCTTCGTTCAAGTTATTTAATGCATCTTATCAAATTTGCCTTAAGAGGTTTATGTGATGAAAAAAAGCTCTCTATTCTTTGTGACTATTTTGTGATATTTGACCAATTTTAAGAAGCCTGTCGTCAAGTTGCTGCTTTATGTGTCCACGTACCTGTGTGAGTGCCATGTTACCACCAATCATTCGCCACTGATCTTTTTTATCCATTTTACCCAGATTCACCTGGAAAAAAGAAAGAAAAGAAAGTTACCTCTAATCACATCGTTTGTTGAAAAGTATTTGACTAGTTTAGTCTGCTTTGAACAGCGCCCTCGTTAGTCCGGAAAGAAATTCCTGGCTACCTTCCAACATGGAATGATCTGTCCACAACTTTGTAGTCACCCCCCATTCAAATTTGTCTAGCAACGCCCCTTGATGGTTACCTGCTACAAATTGACGTGTCATGCATTCAAAGTCTTGCACAAGTTATGTTGTTGTACTGTCACTTCGTGGTGTAACTTATGATATCAGTGATTAGTGATGCAAATGAAATTATTGTTATCTTACCGCTGTGGAAAGTCGTGATGCTAGCGTCATTTCTAGATTCCCCTTTAATCCAAGCAAGGCAGGCACCAAGATGAAGACTTCAGTCACGACCGTATAGACAGGCCAATGCTACAGATAATACATACAATAAAGATATGATCAAGAGCAATGATACAATTTTTAAAAATGAAAACGCAAAACTGTTAAGTAAAACAGACAGTTTCTCGTCTCTGCCCACCTCCAATTTTCTCCTTTTTTTTTCTTTTAAATTGAATCGTGTATTTTGTCTTTTTATTTACTTCAAGCAAAATTGTAGCTATGTATGCAAGTTCAAATCTATAATTAAAAATAGTGACCGCTTCTTTGGAAACAAACTTATCAGCAAAAGATTCAAGAAAATGGAAGAATATATCCACCATCTTGAGAAATCTGCATCTTTTGGAGAAAAGGTCAACTCCTCCCTTGCTTAAAAAAGCCCGGACTTCAATGTACATGAAGTTTTCTTTTCATTTTAACGGTATTTCATGTACAGGAGTCAGAAGGATTTGTACCCAAGTTCACCATTTTTTTGGTGGCATATAGAGTATATTGAGGAAAAAAACTGAGTGTTTCATATTATACACATACTGAGTGGCTCTTGCTCAGAGTGAAATGGGAGGAATATCATCGCAAGGTAAAATCTAGACTTTTCCAAACACGAGGCGAAATCGAGTGAACTGGAAAAGTCCAGATTTTACCGAGCGATAATATTCCTCCATTTCACAATTTAAAGCCACTTGAAATATAGATCCATGTCATTTGATATATTTGAACTTTTATTTCAATACAAACTTGCTGGAAAATGTATTTCTCTCTTCCAAACCACCCCTTCACGAAAATGTTTGAACCCAACTCTGTAGCGCTGGCTCTTTGGAACAATACGTGCTACGCGCAATACTGAATGCACATACTAGCATGCATTTGCACACAAACATGACAAATACCGCGTCATGGAACAAGAATGATCCTAACTGTTCAATAGTATTTCCCATTCCCCATGGGCGAATGGGACTTTTTGAGCCTCGGCGTGAATGGGAGTAATAACGAATGTCACGTGATGTAAGTTCCACCAATCAAATGACAGGGATCTGTATGTCGGTTATATAATAATGGTTATTACCTGGTCTTCCAGAGAAATTTCGAATTTTTCAATTTAGTGGCTGTGGTGAGGAGTTATGCCATTTTCATTGAAGTGGCTTATTTTCCAGTCTGCACACGAAATCAGTTTTGCCTTTTTTAAATATGTCAATAAATTCAAGTGAGTCAGTCACCATGACTAGGTTTTATTTGTTATTACACTGCTTCACATCAGTACACAATTTCATTAAATTTGTTGAACCATTGAACCGTGGTCAGAGTGTTTTCAGCGTGTGTTCTTTGCTAGTGCTTTTCTGGTACAATAAATGAAACTTTCACCAAATATGTCCAAAATACCAGTCTATAACATCTCATTTACACTTGGTTTGATAATTGCTTCATATTTTTAATATTTTCTTTAATTTGGGTCCAGATCATTTTCACTCAACCTGTAATACATTTAGGAAGATACTTAGAAACAGAATATTTTTTGGACACAGAATTTAGTTTATCATCAAATGACAGCAAGCAAGCATATGAAATAACATCAAGTAAGCATATGAAATAACCTCAGTTGGCGTTTGACGCATATGTGTTTACAATACATGACACAGTGCAATGTAAATCTGCTGCTGGAAGGGAATAGTTCTTGTAATACTTTGTGCATATGTATTTTCTACAGTTTTGCAATACCATGTATGCTTCCACGTACGTGTCTTCTTAAATGTCATGTATCCATAATTGATACCAGCAATACTGCATTTTAATAGGTCTAACATGCTGTAAAATACTTTTTGAAGCCAGAAATAACTTAATTATACCAATTTGAACGATGAGATACTTTTGCTGGTACTGATTTAAATGTTATTTCAAAAGAAAATTGGAATAATTGTAATCCAGACTGGCATAAATTGTTAAAAATACATGTAGAGGAAAGAATGCTGCATCCTGACGCAACTGTTTTTCATCATATATTATCTCAATGAAGGTCAGTCACTGCAAAAATGTCGAAAAGACATGAATCTGGGACTGAGAAACATTTCCAATTTTGTTAGAAAATACTTTGAAAATGCACTTGATTCTCCACACACTTTGTACACAACCAAATAAGTGGCGTCTGGATATTAAGTTCTTTCCGAAGTAGAAACAGAGTTATTTATTTTGTTCTGTGAAGAAATGGGTGTGTTCTTAAAAAAACCCCCAAATACACCAGAACGGTTCACTTGATTCAATGCAATGATTGATGCCTCAAAAAACAGGCCAGTGTATTGTGCGAGTTGTGCGTGATATTTCAGCAGTACGCTTGCTTTGAATAATATTTTTCCAGACTATTGGGTGACAAAAGGGTTGGAGAATGACCATGAAAAGTGTAGGCATACATGTAGAGAGTGACTTCGCACATGAAAAATATATACCACCAACCTGACCTCCTCCCTCACTTTTTGAAGTATATTCAAAAAGGTAATTTTTGTTAGCATTTTTTAAAATTGGAGGTGGGGTGGGGTGGGCGGGGGGGGGGGGGGGGGGGGGAGGCATGTAATAATAATAATAACCATATTTATATAGTGCCTTTTCCAAACAATGCAAAGCGCTGGGGGAGATTGCAACCAAAGACAGGTAAATGAAGTATATGAACATTATGAGACCCATTATGTAGCACCTTTTGGCTGCAGCGCATATTGCAGCCACTGCCAGAAACACCGGGGCAAACCTCTTCTCTAAGCAACAAGTGTTACTGGGTTCTTTAGCGTGTGTTACACAACACGGGGGACTTACGACTTTATGTCCCATCTGAAGGACAAAGCAATAATGGTAAAGTGCCTTGCTCAAGGGCACAAGCACCATGTTCCCTCGGTCAGGATTCAAACCCATATGTACCATGGCACACGAGTCGAACACCATAACCATTGGAACACAGCGCCCCACAGTACCCAAAGAGCAAGCCAATATTCCTTTCACTGAGTCTGAGAGCCCAGTGTGTGTGTTGGGGGGGGGGGGGGGGGGGAATACATCGGGTATTGATTTATGCTCCCATGGCGTGAAGTACGCACCATTCTGAGTGTGCACAAGCCTGTATAAACATCAGGTGCTGTATAAAAAATGTACACCATATGTCCAAAAGAAAAAATTGTTAAGTAAGCACTAGAAAGTTGAGAAAAACCTATAATGTTGTTTATTTTGTGAAAAACAATGCAAACATTTGTTTTACCTGGACAAGGTCGAGCACCAGGCCTGCTCCCACGGTTCCAAATCCAGCAATGATAAATGGCAAGAAAACCTGAAGGGTGATGCTGAACGATGATTCCTCTTTGTGTTGGACCACACCCACTTCTTGGTTCCTTGGCCCCTCCCCCTCCTCCTCAGAATGTCTCCGTAGCAGCGGTTCTGTAAAGGAAGTCTCAATCTCTGCATCATCATCGTCGTCGTTAGCGCTGTTCCCAATGGCAACCCTGACCCCTCCCCCCTGGTCCGTGTCTACCCGATGAGCCACGTCGCCGTTCCATTGACGAGTTTGTTCCGTCCCATCAACTTTATCCTCCTTGTTTCGCTGCACTCCTGAGACGTGGTTACTCCCCGTCTCAACATCACCGGACGACGGAAATGTCTCCAGTTCTATTCGAGGCACCATGGTTTCAAAGTCTTCCGTTGCCGTCTTGCCCTGTGTGCGATGTCTTAATGCTGTTCCTAGTTGTCTACTCCCCGGTTTGACCGCAGTAGACGATTTGCCAGTTGGCATTTTGTGAAGGTGTACGGCATGTGTGAACTTATCATGAATAGGCACCGTTAAAAATAGGAAAAAACCTCACTCTTGCTCCACCATCATGTCTTAGGGAAGATGGAGTTCAGCCAGAACTATCTCCAAGCAGGGACAAACACTACAGGTGAAAAATAAAACAAAAAACAAAAATTTATCTGTGGAAAATAAAAATAGGACTTGCTTACCAAATTGTGACTAGCAGATGGTGAGTAAAAATGAGCAAATAATTTAAGGCAATGTAAAAATGCAACAATCACGTTCATATGGTAATTCAGGCTGTACATGTATGAAACTACTACCCCCCCCCCCCCATCGTTATTTACTGTAATCCGGGTAATTTTGACCCCACGAATCACTGACGTAGTCTTCTAAATGTTATGTAAGGTTCTGTGTAACTTTACTAGGACAGAAAATTGAGTGTTTGATACTCACCATACTGTATTAAAGTCACCCATAAATAAATTATGAATGTACATGCACGCACAACCCCAACTTGAAATATCCAGCACACTAGGCTCACGGCATCGGAGATTTAGGAGTAGAGAATCTCTCCATGTCATGAGCCTAGTGTGGTGGATACTTTAAGCTTGTATTTAGCACAACCCATTTTCTGACAAATATTTACTAAACTTTACTGACCTCTTGAAAGAGTCATGGTAGTTGCACAATGACTGTGTTCAGTTAGTTTCGATGAAGGATAGTTGGTCATTCCCACATATTTTTCTATTCCTAGCCTAGTCCGGGTAACTTGGACCCAATTTATCGCCTTTTTAACATTCGGACATGGTCTGGCGTTTGTAAACACAAGTACATTTCAAACGATAATAGGGAAGCGGGATCTAGGGTAGCTCTTCAAGCTAGTTCCTGACTCCCTTTTACCGTTCGAAATGTTTGTTTGTGTTTACAAACGAGATCCAGTCTACTCATTATCATAATCGATGCATCGCGCTCGGTAACGGAATCGCACTCGGGATATGGGGACCATTGAATGTACGCTGGGCATGATGACCACATCGCATCGTTCAAACGTTGACACGAGTCGGAAATTTAACGTGTTCAAGATCGCGGGGGAAGCCCTCGGAATTGAACAGGAAATTTCACTTTTCATCCGGATCGTAAGTAAACTTCAGTACAACCATCTTAATCATCGATGTCTACTTGTACCTCAGGTGGCCTATCTAGTAATTTGGAGGCCGTTTTGAGGGTGAAATCTGATGTTTTTGTTAGGCAATGTTGGGTTTTTTGGTCAAGGGCATATACACATTAGCTTGGACCCTACTATCGCCAGACCATGTCCGAATGTTAAAAAGGCGATAAATTGGGTTCAAGTTACTCGGACTATTTCTAACCATAGTAAATCTGGCGATTATGTAGTTACAGGCCCGGTTTCCTATGAAAGAACAGAATCCAGATTTAATTTATCTGACTTACCAAACTAGTTACACATGTAGTTGGCGATATTATTCAGGATTTAAGAACATGCAGGTATGTCATAGATAGAGGGCAGGGTTTTCAAATTTAGAGGGAAATTTGGGGGTAAAAAATGACGATGACTACGACAAAACGCAACAGGAAAATAAAGATGGCGATCACCACGATGTACCGTGAATGCCCAAGGCACATTGAATCACGCGACACCAATTACAAACTGCGCACGAAAATCGTTTTCGTAATTTCTACCCCAAAAAACTGTTCAAATTACAAAAAAGTGTCATTAGAATTGAGAGAAGTCTGATTTAGGATGAAAAGGTCATTTTTTTTTTATATTAAATACACTCTTGACTCCAATTTGGTAGAAACTAAAGAGGGGCCCGTAACCACACGATCGCCGTAAATCTTACCATTATTGTCTAGCGTTATAGTGTGAGTCACTACTGTCACTTTTTGTCTTGGCTTCGACAGTAAACAAATAATAAATGGACGGAACTTTCAACTAACTAGCTTGCCCAACATTTTAGACACTGTATGTCTTCATTAAAACACGGCTACGTTAATGATATTAAAGTTTACGTGACCTTTATATCACAATACTCTTTGTAAGCACTTATGCTTCCTCTGTATTAGAAAAAAAAGATTATCCCTAACACACCATAACTCCAAACTTACCTGATCGAAGTCAACGCAAGAGTACCAAAGATCACAGACATGACAGAGCGCGTAGGATTTAACACATGCCGTGCCACGTACATACAGTACATGTAGCCTACGTACTAGTGACGTGTACGTGCCATATGGACGTGTGCGGATTCGGAACATGTATGCCAAATGACCCAACCATGTATTTAGTCCCAACTTTAAATGGGCACGCTCACAACACTCCGCAGTTGGGCTGAGCTGACACCACAGCACTGACGGTATCTTGGAATTTTGAACCTGAATGAAATTAAACAAACAAACAAACAAACACACAAACAAACACCCCAACACCCCAACAAACAAACAAGCAAACATGTGTCAAGTGAATGCAGAAGTGCTAACTCGGGTCGTAACGTCACCAGATAAATAAATGTGTCCCAGTGGGAGCTCAACGAATTTAATGGTCAGGCTGCAAGATATTTAGTGATAGCAAGTTTTGTCTCCCATAAAATTTGCGGACAATAATGGGGAGCGAGCAACGTTCCTTGGAGTATTCATCGAGTATGGGTATTCATCGAGATATTCATGATATTGTTTTGTTTTCTTTTTCTTACCCGACGTCTGTTAATAGTTTCGCCCTCTTTAGGTCTTCGAACCACATAATACGCAATGCCTCATTAGCCTGTTCAATGCCAACGGATACAATATAAAAAATGTCAATTAAACAACTTAATTGATATTTGACTTGATATAATAATAATAATAATAATTTGGGAAGCTAATCATCCTTTCTCGCAGCTTTTTCCGGAGGGAGGAAATCCGGAAGGCCCGGAGAAAAAAACCTCGTGGCACAGGAGAGAACCAACGCAAAACTCTACTCACATGCGATCCGCGGCCAGGATTCGAACCGTGGTCACCTTGGTGAGAGGCGAGCGCTTTACGCACAAGCCACCCATGCCATCCAAACTTCAGACTTTAAAATTTGTCGGGAGAATAGATGATTCACTCTCTATCTTCAACTTGTTATGAATCTTAACAGCCAAGAAAATAAATATCATTAATCTATGTGTAGATAAAGTGATATTTGAGCATGCTACTGCTAAGCCCCTCAACCCGACACTGTTTTCAGCATCCCCATCACCATCATCCATTGACGGCGTCAGGCTTTAAAATTTGTCGGGAGAATGATGATTCACTCTCTATCTTCAGCTTGTTATGAATCTTAACAGCCAAGAAAATAAATATGATTAATCTATGTGTAGATAAAGTGTTGGGGAAAAACTGGGGGAGGGGTGGGGGAGGGATAAGGGAGGGGGCAAGGAAACAACATGCCGGCATGCCCCCCACTGCCATCATCACATCATCATCAGCCTGTACGGGCCCACTACTGGGCAAAGGCCCCTCAGTCCCACAGCATGCCACTTTTCCAGGCAATTGTCCCTGTTTCCACCACCACCAGCTCGTCTCTCCTCCATCTAGACAGAGATCTTCCTCTTTACCTTTTGATTATAGTGGTTGCCATTCTGTTGTAAGTCTCCATCTTGTTGTAAGTCCTGCCCATCTCCATTTATTCCTCTTTGCTGTTACCATCACATCATTTACTTTTGTCAGGCACAGGCGTTGCTAGACCATTTTGAAGGGGGGGGGGGGGTGCCATCATGAAATTTGCCGACAAACCGCGTCACGCAAAATGAGTGCAATTGATAATATCCGCCCAAAATATTCCTTTAACTCCATTTCTAAGTTCCTGCACAAAACACAAATATATAAATGGTTAATTATGTTCATTACTTTGAATGGATTACATCAGTGGGATAAGTTCAACTTCAAAAGTAAATCGTCAAAATTTGGCCCTATCATAATGAAAAGCTTTGGAATTAATGTTCGTCGCAAAACTGCGTGTACACGTTCATACGTACCTTGATCAGGCCGCGCCTTTTCCCTGATCCAAGGCTGGGAGCGGGGGTGTTTAAAGTGGAACTTTTTATATGCGAGCGCGGAGCGTGAAGCCGTGAAGGCGTGGGGTTTGCGATCCGGGGGGGGGGGGTGACACCCCCACACCCCCTGCAGCGACGCCCGTGTTGTCAGGTCTCTGATGTGATTTCCTGTACTTGATTCCCATCTGGCCAAACCTCCTTTTAGAACACATTATTTTAATTACGCATCTAAATTAAAAGCTGCCACACTTCAAATCTTCAGTATCCTGAATTCCTGATAATAATTTATGGGCAAGAGATGTTGAACGTTGCTCGTCCGAGCTTTTTACGCCGGCCGTATAATAAGAAGCCCGCCCTCAATGAGCAGTAATGTGCCCGTGCAACGAAGTGCAACAGTACTTGGCTACGACTGGATTTACTACACACGTACGTATGGGAAATGGATTCAGCCGCACAGCGCACTATCGAGCCGTAGCCAAGTAATTCCAACCACGGCCCGATTGCAGTTGGACTGCCCACCGAAGTTGGGATGTTAAACACAGTTGGGCGGTACACTATAAACACCCACGCTCGTCAAGCTTCCCGAACGATTACCTATATCTCGAGAATTTACGATATTGTACGAGAATATGCTTTGAGCAGTGAAATCTCAAGTGAAAGTTTTTTTATCAGCTAAAAAAATTCTGAAAACGAGTAAAGCGTGAAATAAATTAAACGGTTGTAGAGACTGATTTACTGTGGAAAGTTCGCTGTATGTAGGCGGCCTGTGTGTAATAGGTTGTTTTTCGGCATCTTACAAGTGTTTACATTGCTCTTACACATGTATAGTTCTTTTAATTTTCAGGTATTAATGACATAAGTCAACTCTTAATTCCTCCTTCCATGGGTTGTCCCGTAAGAAAATAATGTAGCAAGTAGAAACGACACTGGGTTGAAAATAATATGAAAGTATTTACGCGTATTGTGAATATTAGTTTTGAATATCAGTGTTATTACAGGTACATTTAGTGATTTTATTTTACCAGTAATCCCCAAAATTTATGAAATTGGCTCGTCAGCACCGAGTGATATAAAATATTAATTCGTTAATTTCTTAGAATTGGCCAAACATTAGCATATTATTATCTAAGTAAGAACAATTACAACAATGGCAGTTTAGATATGGATAAATCGTTACAAAATATGTCTCGATACTCAAATAAAAGTTCCCCCAAATATTACCAACACCACCCCAAGTATTTATTTGTAGCGATTAAAATAATTCTGCCAATGACGGAATCTCTTCAACACACTGATGCATTGGTTTGAAAACTCATTAATGAACAGTTATTAAAACGCTTCTCTCTCTGAACCAACTCGGCCCAGACATCTATGATTATTATTTGAGAAAAAGTATGTGTCAGAAAATTCAATGCAATAGTAGGCTATACTTGAATATATTTATTACTTATTGATTAGGCATTATACTTATACAATCACCCAAAACTAAACATTTGCAGTGACGTCGGCCATTTTATAATGGGAACACCTCAATAAAACAATTTTTACACATTCTCCTCGTGCTGCTCACGAGGTGCGGGAATAAATCCCCGTCATCTGATTGGTGGGTCGCTGATCACGTGTCATTGAATTATTCGTCCCAACCCCAACCTCGTTTTCATGGTGTCGTGCAGTACGCTCCTACCACTATCTGCTCTCTTACTACTGGAATCGATTTTGAAAATAAAGTAATTAGCCCTGGGACGAGGTTGCCCCAATCCACGGTCCGGCCGTAGCACAAAAAAAGCTCTATCCACGGTTATCGTTTTCTCTTGCAAATCAACGCCAATGATAATGACGATTAACCTTGAATTATTAATAAGTCCAGCAGCAGCCCATGCAACGTTTAGAAAGTCCGTCCCGAATCCTGTAAACCAGGTACCAAATTATGTGCACGGTGGGTGAAGCCACGAGCACGGCGAAAATCATGACAACGGCCGATCCGACGGGCAGGCCGCCCCAGTCAAGGAAGTCTGGATAAATGGCTGTGACACCGTGTTCGTTTAGTCCACCTGCTGCATAATAGATGAGAGTGAAGATGAAGTACATCAGTGCGAAGGTTACAGGATAGACCAAGTGCAGGATCCGTGCTGGGACGGCACCCAGGATGACATCCAGCATGATGATGATGAAGTTCACGCCGTGGATGTGAAAGCTGTAAACGCTGAACGGCTCAACACCGGCTGGGTTGAAGACTTGACCCGGTATGAAGAAACTAAAGGAGACAAGAAGTCCTGAGGTACAGGCGATGGTGTGCAGGAACCAGGCTAACTTGAAGTACCACGGGAGCGCTTGGTGGGATTTCCGGCGAGATGGGGTGTCGTCGGACGACAGAGGAATCGTTCTGTCGGAATCAGGGTCGAGCTCAAGATCTGTCTCATCTCCTCCTATATAGAACAAAAGTAACAGTACAGGCCGCGCCTTTAACTGAAATCCACTTATATAGGCCATCAGCCTGGGGGTTTGGCCAGTATCAAATCAGGGCATAATTGATTATAGTGCGCATGCGCAAGGCATACCGCCCCTAGCGGTAACAAGCATTTTGATGGACATTTTGAAAAAAGGGTGATAACACCCAAAAAGCTGTCACCGCTGCAATGCTATCACATATTTTCCAACTCTGGAGGTGTATACCTTGCCAAAAATCGCTATGACGATATTCCCCTCATTTGATACCGGTGGCCAAAACAATTTTGGACCGAGGCTGATGGCCTAATATGAAACCGAACCGAAGTACACTTGTTATCTGAAATAAGACATCCCACGCTATCATTATTTTGTGGCTTAATAAGGTCCCTTTACCAAAGATTGTGAACATCCCACCATTTCGGTATTATTTGTGCGCCAGGAGTGTCACTATGTGACAGACATGGCGCATTACAAATCTCCAGTATTATTATTATTATTTATTCAGTACATTAACAACTGCTTTGTGTGCAGAGGTTAACTTTAAAAAAGTTTATCTCACAGCGGTTTCCGACGTAATCGAAAGTAATCTTTTAACGTTTTGGAGACAATTTTAACTTCTCAGGCTGATTCACCATTTTGAGTCTTGCAAGCATTGCGAACGTGATAGAAGACATTTCCTATCGCCATGGTGACTAGGTAGAGGAGGAGCACAAGATAAGACCAATTTGAAGCGTAGATGAGGAACTTGGCTTTCTTATCGGCATAGTAGTAGTAAGGTGGCTCCCCCCACTCGAGCACAGTCAAGACCAGCCAGACGGTGACATAGACGGCCAAGACAATGCGGTAGATACACCAGAGAATGGGCGCTAGAGGCCACTTAGCCTGCAGGGGGAAAAAGAGACTGATCACAATGAATGGTAACATGGTAACGCATAACAGCGGTACCCACTGCTATGTACATGTACATCAGATTCGAACCAGCCAACCGATCCCTTTAGTTCGGTGGTCGAGTGGTAAAACATCTGCCCTAGAAAGCAGGAGGTCGTGGGTTCGAGTCCCACCCGAGTGATTTTTTCCAACTTTCACTCGGGAGGTAACACACTGAGTATACAGTGTTTGAACGTTGGTGAAGGGCAAAACCTAATTTGATTTGATTTACATCACCCCGACGCAAAATTCCATCTTATAATGGTAAAAATCTTTGTGATTTTTTTGAAGAAATTCACATTCTCACATTGACATTTGGACCATGCATGTGCACGTGCATTTACTTGTGAATGATAAACCCACAGGAATCTGTGACAGCGTCAATTCAATGCGATTGCACGGAACACACCAAAGCAAATCGGTATAACTTGAACGTCTTACAAACAAAGAAACATCAATAAACCATCATCAAGATGCTAGAGATGAAACTTAATTCCAGGCCTACCTGTGGCTGACTAAATCTGTGGACAGACTCTCCACCGAAGCCTAAATTCAGACAAGCCAACCTGAAGCAGCTAGGCGCCATTTTATTGATAGATTTTGTGAGATAGTCCCTATTGAACAAGCTGTGCCTATTTTACCTATTTAGCAACGACAGTATATACACCGATATAGAATGCAAGTTCAGTGATACCGAACAATGATCCTTTTACAACGGGGAAATTCAATTCAATTCGTTCATTTTTTTAACAAAGAAGTGAATTTTTTAAGTAGGTGTAGATTAGAATGGCTTCACATTTTTTTGGCAAGCATGAGGGATATGCATGACTAGGTCAAATGCAAACCGGAAACACGGCAGGGCTGCAATGGCACTACACGTTCAATTCAGAGATGGCAAGATCACACAAAAGCTGGGCGTCTAACAGTCATCGGCGTATAGCTACGGTAGCATAAAATGGTACGACAGTAGAGCGCGTAATGAATATGTATGACTATGACGTCACTAGAAGCTCATGAGTAATATCACGCACGGTACTGATAGATATACATGTAGATGCACACTGTATGTGCTGCATCCCACTTACCGATGATATCACATTTAACAAGTCCTCTTTCTACTTGTCGCGCCGCCACCCTCTAGTGTCGTCCCACTTACCGATGATAGCACATTTAACAAGTCCTCTTTCTACTGTCGCGCCGCCACCCTCTAGTGTCGTCCCACTTACCGATGATATCACATTTAACAAGTCCTCTTTCTACTGTCGCGCCGCCACCCTCTACTGTTGCCCCACTTACCGATGATCATCAAGCGGGGCGACACGAGAGGGTGGCGGCGCGACAGTAGAAAGAGGACTTGTTAAATGTGATATCATCGGTAAGTGGGACGACTAGAGGGTGGCGGCGCGACAGTAGAAAGAGGACTTGTTAAATGTGATATCATCGGTAAGTGGGACGACACTAGAGGGTGGCGGCGCGACAGTAGAAAGAGGACTTGTTAAATGTGATATCATCGGTAAGTGGGACGACACTAGAGGGTGGCGGCGTGACAGTAGAGAAAGAGGACTTGTTAAATGTGATATCATCGGTAAGTGGGATGCAGTGCATACAGTGTGCATCTACATGTATATCTATCAGAACCAAGGTCAAAGGCCATCTGAGGTCAAGTTGTAAAATAGACTGGAACCAAACTTGGGTCATATAGCGGCAATATGGCAACCTTCATACTCCTTAAAGATTATCGCGAAAGCAGGCGCGACGCATTGTTCTAGAACCACCTTGTTTATTATACACTGCGTTGACCTTGTACGGACCTTGTACGAGCTGCATGTATTCTGCTTGCTAAGACTGATAACATTTTACGTGTTATATACAAAATTCATATACAATTGTATATGAATTTTGTCGATCCATATTTAGAATTTAATGCCAATTTTGGCGACAATTATATAAATAACGGGTTCAAATTCCATATTCTTTTTTTAGTGGCCCCTTCTAGGGGAAAAAAATCATATGTACATGTATATTATTTTGTATACGCATGTATTAGTTCTTTTTTTTTGGTTGGCAGTCCAATTAAATAAGATGTCTTCCACTTTATCGGCCACGTTCCTTGTATGTCTAACCGTCTTGTCTCCCTTGTTCTTGCTTCCGGCGCTATCCAGCGATGAGGGAAACGTACCAAGCGGAGAGAAGTACAAGTTCCTGTATTTCGCCTCCATTACCGGGGGAAGCCACTACTTCAACTTGGTCGCCTCAGGCCGGGCGCTAGCTCGTCAGGGTCACCGCGTGGTGTCCCTGGTCAGCAGCTCCAATCCCACCAGCCACTGGGAGAAAGACTCCGGTCTCTTCTCCTTCGTGGTCTTCAACTCGTCTTACACAAAGCAAAACCGGACCGACGTGTTTGACAATTTATCCAAAGTGGTACTGAGAGGCGGTCTGAATACGTTCTTCGGTCCCCTGTGGGAAGGCGGTGAGCTGGATGGCAGGCTGAATATTTTGACGATGATCCTTCGAGAATGCGACGACTTGTTTGGTGATTCATCCACCATGAAGCGGTTGCGAGAGGAGAAATTTGACATGCTGGTTGGGGATGACTTAATTCCTTGCAGCCCTCTGTTGGCTCAGGCTTTGAACATTCCTTTCGTCCTGAACTCGGTCTTATTCGCAGTTCCTTCCAGACACGGGCAATGGTAAATAATGTTTATTTCTATACTAAAGTGAAAGTTGAACAAACCCTATTTATGCACATACCGTCAGCGACACGGCGAAGTAACACCCAAGAAGACTCGAGTGCGTTCTATACGCGATCGAGCGTATTTTACAGAACCAAGTGATTTTCGTTTTCACGAAGTAACACTCGTGTAGACTGTGCGCTGACTCGGTCATTTTTCGTTTTTATGAAGTAATAGTCATCTTTATTTCACCAATTTGATGTCATTTTATTAAAATTGTTTGTAATCCTACAAGAATACGGATTAATTACTTTCCTGTCAAATTTTTTAATACGTTTTTATTCCAAATAGTATTTCGAATAGTGAAAACGAAAATCATTCGCGCCAGTGTCCAATGTGTGCTCGCACACTGTCTTGAGTGTTACTTCGTGAAACCAAAATTTCACGACGTAACACTGAAGTGGACTTGGGTGTTACTTCGTGATGTTGGTGATTACGATGAGTTCTGTCTGTGTGCTCTAACCTTGCATACTCTTTGTGGACCTGTGAACAAAAGAGGTCCACAGGATGCAGGAAGTGTAAACGTTTTGTGGACTTGCACACGTCCACACAAGGTTCACCCTCTCTGGAAAACAGGTTAGGAGACATCTCAGAGTTATCCTTCGCAAAATGAAAACACTCAATGAAATCATGATAAAACAATATTGAAAGAGTATTCACAGTGCAAGTAAAATGATTGTTTTCTCCGTTTTTTTCTTAAATACACGAATAAAAAGGAAGTCCACAGTAGGAAGGTAAGCATGTGTGTGTTTCCTGGCATTAACTTGTCTCGATGAGACTCAAGTGTCATTTTCATTTTTTCTCCAAGGTCCGGAATCCCAGTCGATCCCTCGTACATACCAGAACGCGTCATGGGGCTCACCGACAAAATGACGTTCCTTCAGCGAGTCCAGAACGTTTTAGCCCACTATTTCTATGGGATTCTCTATTTCCGTCTGGGCGTGAGTAAATTCGATGGTTATGATGATTTGAAGGCCAAGTACAACATCAAGCCGGAGGTGAGCACGTTGGAGTCCCATAAGCAGGCATTGCTTCACTTCATGCATGGCAGCTTTGGGTTGGAGTTTCCCCGTTCTATGAACCCGAATAACATCTATGTCCTCTATAACACCGGACCGAACGCCAATCACACGGTAGGCATAGTCATCAGCAATTGTAGTACAAAATGTTTGTGTTTATAGACTTTAAATTCAGCGAAATTACTCAAACCAGTAAATACGTTTAATATACCACAGAGGTAGGGTTTGACTGTGTCGAATGCAGCGGAAGAGACCCTTCCTTGAAATAAATGATTTTGTATTAAAGGTATATAAACTCCATTTGCCCCATGTAAATGATCCTGATGAAAAAAAACCCTTCAATATCATTCAGTCTTTTTAACAATAATGTTGACTGCTGTTTGATGTCAGACATGACTTTTCCTCAGATCGTTTTGGTGTGTGCCATACTTTCAGATTGACAAGAAGGTGGCCCAGTTTCTTGATGCTGCACCCGGTGGGGTAGTCCTGTTCTCCATTGGCTCGTTTGTGAAGATGTTGGGGAGTGAGCAAGCCAAAGTCTTCGCAGATGCCTTCGCTAGGCTACCGTACCGCGTGCTGTGGCAGTCTAGTGCTGACTTGACCAGACTTCATCTTGGCAAAAACATCATGGTTGCCAAATGGTTGCCAATGACAACAGTCATGGGTATGTCTTTTTTCTCCCTAAATACATGTATAGTTGCTTGTTGAATTATACCCTAGGCGGGGCACACCTACGACCGGCCGTCCTGCTATCACCTAAGACTAATGGGGCTCCTATACCCTAGGTCCTCCCTCTACTGAGACTGCAACCCTACTGTTCCACTTCAGTGGGCAGTAAGCTTGCTCTAGGATCCCAGCTACTTTAGTTCAGTCGGAAAAGGGGGGTATCGTGCACCCTCGGAAATCAATTTCTAATCAACGTGTCTAGGTCAGAAACAATGCGTAGAAAACGATTTGCTATGTTAAAAAATTCAAAAAATGTCCCACGTATTGTTTTTATGCAAATTAGTGCCGCCATTACCGAAAAATCTATTTTTAATTATATCTCAGCCAATATTGCTGATAACTGAACGAACTAGATGTCTAAACCCATGTTTTCAAGGTCAGAGATCACAATAAAACTATTCTGGAAGTGACCACATGTGTCTGTGGCATAGGAATATGCAAATTAGTGCCGCAAATACCGGAAAGTCATGTTTCTGGCATATCTCGGCCAATATAGCACATAACTACACCAGTAAGGTGTCTAAACCCATGTTTTGAGAGTCAGGTATCATTAAAAGACCATTCACGAAGTAACTATGCGTGTCCTTGGCAGGTAAATATGTAAATTCAAAAGTGTCGATTTATTGGAAATTTGATTTTTAGCCAATATCTCAGCCAATATTGCAGCTAATGTTGACAGAAGGGTTTTTGATAAGCAATAATGATCAAAGTTTATTTTAAGCCATCATATTTAAAATAAACTGTACTATTGGCTGAAATTGAATATAATATTGGCTAAAAATCATTTTTTTGATAAACCGGCAAATTAGAATTTACATATTTTCATGCCAAAGACACACATAGTTACTTCGTAAATGGTCTTCTAATGATACCTGACCCTCAAAACATGGGTTTAGACACCTTACTTGTGTAGTTATGTGCAATATTGGCCGAGATATTGGCTAAAAATCAAATATCTGATAAACCGACACTTAATATTTTGCATATTTTCATGCCAAAGACAAACATAGTTACTTCGTGAATGGTCTTCTAATGATACTTGACCATCAAAACATGGGTTTAGACACCTTACTGGTGTAGTCATGTGCTATATTGGCCGAGATATGCCA